GGGGCGATTTCACTTACTGTTTATTTATCATTATCTATTTGATTTTGTTGAGCAGGACTCCTGGAGCACGAACAAGAAAATGATGTCAGTCTGATGAACGAAACCTGTATATATGACGACAATTAAAAAAGTTCATTTTATCCCATCACTTGTGACTTATGCATCTTTAGAGGAAGGAGAGGGCATGCAAGAACTCAATTCTTGCCATATATGTTCATTGTTCAACATTGTAAAGCAAAAGATACATATGAGGCCAGAAACTCCCATTTAACAATGATATCCAATGATATATATATATATATATATATATATATATATAATATCTATGTCTGTGCAGCTTGTATGGATATATGTATATATACACATATATCACCCAAACAGACGTTAAGGGTACCTGCTGTTTGAATACTCAAGGCTTTCTTCAATGGCTTTAGCAAGTTGCTTACGATATTGTTCATCGTAGCACCTAGATTCATTCTCTAGTTTAAAAGTAACAAATTTTGCAATGGTTAATTTCATGAATTACTGAAAAAGTGAGTACCTAATTTGAATCATTGTTAACATGCTTTTATTAGATCACTAGGCTTAATCAGCCTCACCGATTTCAATATGTTGGCCCTTATCTTGTAAATCTAAGAGAGAAAGTCGAGTAGCACACTCTATGTCATCAATTTCGTCTTCCTCAAAGATCACCATGTGTCCTTGGAAGACGTCTTGAGAGGTCTTAATTTTGATTCTCACCAAAGATGAATTTGAAGCACATTATTGCTAGCCCATTGTGAGGCCTAACCACTCCCCTACCCCCTTAGTGTAGATAATATCATTTGTTAAAAATAAAAATAAAAACGAAGAAGCTAGGCTCTAGTCGGGTCGCTAGCGGGGGCCTAGTGGCTAGGTGGACTAAGCGGATTTAATTAAATTTATAATATAACATGTGAATAAGCGCCTACTTACAATCTAAAAAATAAAAACTATACTTGCATTGGGAATTTAGGAAGGTTAAAAACTTAAAACTTAAGCCATTATAACATTGTCATCATCACAAACTAATGTAGCAAAAATAAGAAAACCCCAAAACCAAAAACCAAATTCGAAAATTCATAATTCGTAATATGGGTTCTTATTTACTAGGTTACCCAGAAAACTCTTTAACTTACTTATAGAATTGGCAGGGTACCAAGTTATTGGAAATTAAAAACTTACTTATAGAATTGGCAGGGTGACCTAGTCTTGCATGCCATGTATTCACTGAACACCGAAGGCCTACAAATGCTGAAATTGGATGCTTGAGTTGTCCAGTGCCACATGGAAATGGATATAATCCATTCTCACATCTCCCTCGGAAAAGCGTCTTCCGAGTCTTGAGGTCCTTAACAAGGAAAAAATAGGGAAAGATTAGGAGATAGCAATTGTTGTTCAAAATAAACTTATGCGCATAAAGTATATTTTGGGAGGCAGAAGGACAATGAAGGATATTATGCATGTCAAACGAGCAAGTTGAAGTATGTAATTTATTTGAACCAGAATGAGAGATAGAAATGCCAGAGCCATTACCTCCACCCCCAATAGTTTCATTACCATTATACTCTTTAGGGTTAACAAGGTTCTGAATCTCAGGAGTTATGTGAGCATTTGCACCGGTGTCCAACAGCCAGGTACCATTCTGTTGTTTGTTGAGAGTGACGGGGGCAGACGACATGGCTGCAAGGCGTTGAGTGGGAATTCGTCCTTCAAAAGCAGCATTCATCCTATTATAACAATCAAGGGCCGGATGACCTGGTTTGCCATAGATTTGGCAAACAATTCTCTCACCATTAAAGCCAACCCGCTCTCCACTGCATGGCATGGTGCGAGAGTTGTTGTTGGTTCGAGGACCATTTGCTCGTTGGTTGAACACGTTACCTCGATAGGATGAAGAAGCACCTCTCCCAGTCCCTCGAGTGCGGCCACCACCTCGACCACGAGAAGCAACAAAAGCATTGACCTGCGCAGATTCCACCAAAGGAGCAGTGTGCGCAGCCATTCTACGCTCAGTAGTTAACAACAGCGCCTCAAGAGTAGGGTAAGTGATTGGAGAATCACGGGCTTGAGCAGCACTGACAGTCATCTCGAAGGTAGGTCCTAGGTTGTTTAACACAATCTGGACCAGTTCATCATCATTCACTGGTTGCCTTGCTAGGGCAAGGTTGTCAGCAATCGCGTTCATGCGATCAAGGTAATCCGCCACAGTAAGATCACCTTTCTTCGTCTGCAATAATTCATTTCTCAGAAACAAAATCATGTTTTGTGAAGTAGAAGCATACCGTTGCTCGAGTGCTTCCCAGGTGGCTCGAGCAATCCTCTTGCTCGCCACGATAGACAGGACAGAAGCCGTCAACGAGCCATTGATCCAACTAAGGATCATTTGATCTTGTTGGACCCATGCAGTGTACGCAGGGTTCGCAGTTGTTACACCAGGCAAATGCTTGGGAGGAGACACCATCGTTCCATCAACATATCCCATCAGATCTCTGCTCTTGAGAATTAGGAAAATTTGGGCCAACCACAGGGGGTAGTTGGTCCTGTCAAGTTTGATGTTAACGACAGTGGTGAAGGGGTGGAACGGATGAGGGGAAGTGGGGTTGGAAGCGGAGTAGGAGGGGACAACATTGTTCTCAGCCATTGAAGCATGGGAAGAAAAGGAGGATCGGTGTCATTAGACAAAAAAAAGGGCTCAATACCATGTAAAACTTACTAACTCAGTGTTTCACTATAATTGCATATCCCAACAATTATGGGATGCATGTAATTATAATACTTTCGTGATAACAGTTTGGGTTTGAAAACCCTAGATACAAGGAGCGTTTGAAAAACAAAATACAAACAGAAAACCAAAGAGAAGATTACATCCACATGTTTAGATTACCACAGAAAACCAATCAAACAAACAAGTCCTAGAAACTAGGAACAGCGGAGAGGATAAGAGTTTGATCCAAGTCAAACTCCTCAAATTGTGGTGATTTCCTTAGCATACTGACCTCGTCTAACAGTAGCGACTATCAATTCTTGTGATTTTCTGATGACTCATAAAATAGTTTGATTGAGAAGAAATAATTTTATTTTGTTTTTAGAGTGAAATTCGTTTGACACCAAGCAAACGAACCCCTGCAAGAGCTTTCTTCAAGTCACAAATCAGTTCTTGCGTTTAAAGGACATACAGAGCACTACAACTGTGAGGGATGATTTCATATTTGTTGTAATCTCAGTCACCTCAAACTGAGATTTTCTGCACGACAATAACAACAGCAACATACACACAATTGATAATTAATAAAGCTGTCCGTTCGCTTACTCAACTTTTCACCCAGTAAGCTTGTCCCACTGTTTCGAATCGTTTCCGTCTTCACTAAACAATTTTACTGTTTACATACAAAGCAAAGGATTTACTTGTTACTAATATAGTCTAGCCTCTGTTCTTCTACCTCTTCTTCGATTCAGAATTCCCAGAGAATCCTTGACTCCCAGAATACAATGGGATTTCACACCTGAAAAATCTCACTCTACCACCTCTTAGCAAATCCATATTCCGTGATCTTCTCCTTGACTTCAGCCTACGGCTTTTGGCATATTTGGTAGAGAAATGTTGGCAGGATATGGGGTCTCATGGTAAGCTTGTCAACCAGAGCTGGCTTGGAAAGAAGTGAAGCAGCAGTACAACGATGGAGAAAAATTGGGAAGAAGTTTGCTCACGTAGGTAACCCGGCAGAAACAGAAAGAATTCTATTTTGGATTTGCAAATCTCGATAACCCAACCGTCAGATTATTTTGGATTTTTATTTGACTTTTAAATGTTAAATAAAAAGTTAACAGAATTGACTAGAAGATATATGTCAAAATATTAGCAATGTGACATAAATGAGGAAAGATTTTTCAGTGTGAATGTCACACGGGATGGTACATCACATGTTGCTATATAAATGGTAAGATATGTGTGTTAAAAAGTTAATAACTTAAAAAATAAAATTTCACATTACTTACATAAAACACGTGATGTACTACTCATTTTCCCGTCATACCTAAAAATTTCTTATAAAGGAGACACACAAAAGGAAAGAGTAGACCTGAAGCCATAAAGTAGCAGCATGGCTTGCCGTTGCCACCAGTGCGACCCGCAAAATTGTTAAAATTCTCATGAGTACGAAATACAGAAAATCAAATACATATACACACAGAAGATTCATAAAAAAATCATTATGTTTTACGGAGTTCACTTACAGTAAGAAAAGCAAAGATTTTTCAAAGAAGGACCCCCATTAAAATGGATGAAACAAGAAAACTCAGACTCTCGTATGGCACACAATAGCAGTTTGGTTCGATATTTAGGTAAAGGATCTGGCGATATTTAGGAAAATGATCCTTGCTGGATTCTTTTATTAGAAATTCTGTGATCATGATCGTTTATCTTATATCGTGCGATCAGAAATTATTTGAAATTTAAAATTTAAAATTAAATATAAATAGTACCTAACGAAAATTGATTGCACAATATACGATAAACGATTACAATCACAAAATTCCTAAAATCCCCAAAGACCAGGCCAGGATCCTTTTTCCTTTTCCCGATATTTAGAGAGTAAGTCAGAACTAAAGTGCACAAGTTGTAGGGATTAGGCGTAAAACATGCTCTGACAAATAAAAAAAAAGTTGTAAAACATGCAGCCCTTTACAGATTCCTTGTGCGAAGCTCCTCATCTTTACTCTTTCTGGATTAATTATGTGTCACTAATTACCTACTGGATGAAAAAGAGAATGCAGTAGCCTATAAAGAGTATAAAAATATTTGTCAAAATGTTTGTTCCTTGATCTTAATCCTCTATACACACAGAATTAAATAAATACTGTGACATAACTAACCATGTCCAGGAAATTCATTCTCATATTTAGAAGAAAGAAACCAAAGATATATTTTGTACAAAATACAATAAAACGAAGTGTCAATTAAAACAGCTAACTAGACTAGCTTAAATCCCAATGTCTCCTTCGCCTTGTGATCCAAGTTCAATAAACATCTCGAAGCGGCAAAGAGGGCAATTAAGGTGACTCTGTTTGAACCATCTCCATATGCAGTTTTCATGAAACATATGTGTGCAAGGCATGGACGTTACATCCTCTGATCCCACAACAAACTTTTCCAGACAAATAGGGCAAACCTCACTTTCACGCACAACGGGTTGTCTTTTTCTTCCTCGACCTCTCTCGTCCTCATTAACATCATCGGCATCAGGCACCACTCTAACCCTCTTTAGCATCTCCTTGATCAACGCATCCCTTTCGAGTTCTCTTTGTTTCGAGCAATCCTCACAACGAATCTGGTTATGGTATATTTTTATGCCAACCCTCAGGCGCAGGACTTTAGGACCTTTCTTGGAATCCAAGTTTCTAATTCGGATACCCCTGTCTATAATCGTCTGTACTATATCACTGTGCACGTCCTCGTGGATTTTAAGAAAGGATAACACCCGATAAAGATAGGGTCTGACGTATGCGTTTCTGGTTTGCAACCAGGACGCATTAACTATTTTGGTTTTGTAACTTCTCACTTGTACTTCAGTTTGGTGCACCAGGGTTAGGGTTCCGTCTTCCGAGAGATCGCTGTCGAAGTAGCTGTGGTTTTTGGAGACTTCAAAGTAGATTTCCAGTGGAACACAAGGGGAATATTTCTCATGAGGGCCGAGGGGGTCTAGTACTTGTGTGTCAAGGGAATCAACTTTCCAGTCAAAGCTCTGGTTCAACTCGTGAAAGACGTCTTCCATATCGCAAGTCACCCGAAGATTATAAAGAAGATAAAAAAAAAGCTAGCAGTAATAGTGAATATCAATAGACGCAACTGCGCTAGCATACACAAATATTTATAGGTCTTAAATTCTTAAGAATTTTGGAAACCTTATTGATTTCTGAAACTGTTTTCCTTTTGGTCATAGGAGTCCGAACTTTTATTTTTTCTATTTAGTTAAAGAATATTGCAAAAAAATATGTGAAAGAAAGAAGGGAGAAATGTGAAAAGAAAAAAAAAACAATGTGGATTTTTTATTTGATCAATAATTTCATGCCGATATGTTCGCAAACATCTCCAAAATTATTCAATACAATAGTGTTTTTTTTTTTTTTGTCGAAATTCAATCTAATAGTTTCGATCATGACATTATGCCACCACTTCTTCTTAGGGTTTCTCAACCTCCACAGTTGAGTCAACAAAATCATAACCAATAGAACCTTCAGCCACATTCCCAATATTTGTTCCATGTGATTGGCTAGAAGAACTCTGCCCCGGTGCTCCCTCAGCCGCAACAGGAAGAACTACATCATCAGGTTGATCCTGGAAAACAATTATATAATCGGAAATTAACCAAAGCAGTGGATAGGCGCGCAGAGGAGCTAGGGTGTAGAATCGTCGTTTCTAACTTCGATTTTAAGTTAAACAAAGGCTAAATTTTAGTTTTGCTCTTTGTAGTTTGTTCAAGATTCACTTTTGGTGCCTGTAATTTGAATTGTGTCTGTTTTGTATATGTAGTTTAGTAATTAAGTTGTTGTAATTCAAGGACACCTTCCAATTTCAATTAAATTTTCATGGCGGAAGTAGATAATAGTGTTCTTGCAATCCGAAATAACATAAAAGGAGCACAGTTGGACCAGTCCAAATTACAGAGACCAACAATAAACCTCAACAAAACTACAGGGACCAAAAAACTTGGCGTCAAAGAAAAGTAAAGTGATGAAGCTGAAGATCAAAACTAAAGTAAATTTGACTTACGATTTTATCATTATCTATTTGATTTTGTTGAGCAGGACTCCTGGAGCAAGAACAAGAAAATGATGTCAGTCTGATGAACGAAACCTGTACATATGACAACAATTAAAAAAGTTCATGTTTATCCCTTCACTTGTGACTTATGTATCTTCTTTGGAAGGAGAGGGCATGCAAGAACAAAATTCTTGCCATATATGTTCATTGTTCAACGTTGTAAAGCAAAGGATACATGGGGCCAGAAACTCCTACGTAACTATGATATATAATGATAATATATATATGTATATATATGTGCAGCTTATAGAGATATATGTATATTACACATATAACACCCTAAAAGACGTTAAGGGTACCTGCTGTTTGAATACTCAAGGCTTTCTTCAATGGCTTTAGCAAGTTGCTTACGATATTGTTCATCGTAGCACCTAGATTCATTCTCTACTTTAAAAGTAACAAATTTTGCAATAGTTAATTTCATGAATTACTAAAAAAGATATTAACTAATTATAATCATTGTTAACATGCTTTTATTAGATTATTAGGCTTAATCAGCCTCACCGATTTCAATATTTGGGCCCTTATCTTGTAAATCTAACAGAGAAAGTCGAGTGGCACACTCTATGTCATCAATATCATCTTGCCACAATGAATCCTGTATTTTGATGAAGAAAATAAAATTAAAAATTTGACAAAAATAATTATTTTTAAGGCGGATGAAATGGGTGAAATCACAAGAAGAAAAATAGGGAGAAAGGAAATGAAATAATATGGGAAAACGTGAGAGTAGTAGTCGAGCATTACCATTAGATGAATTAGACAAACGGTGTGGCAAGATATTCCAAATTAAGAAAAACTCTTTTGAAATCGAGAAGTACAATAGGCTGAGTGAAGACTACTCGCAAAGGAAATATTTATAGGTACTTTTGGTCCAAAGAAATATTTTTATAGGTTAGATCATGATAAGAAGCTAGCATGTTGGAAATATATAAATGAAGAGTTATTAAGAGACCATATATCGAGAGCAAATCTAAATTCCATGCGCCAAAGCTCTCACATTAATTAGTATTTGCATGATAATTATTTAAAAAAACAATAAAACTATTTCGACATGCAAATCTGATATATTTAAGGTTGGTTTGAAATTGTAATGCTTTAAAAAAAATAACTTATTAAAAACTCTAGAACATTAAAGGTACAATTAAAAAAAAATATATATATATATATTAACTATTGTCAATGATAGTAGAAAAACAGAGTCTACCATGCTTTTTTTTTTTTCAAAGCATAGTAATCAGTGCCTATTTAATGAAATTTTTAAATAGTGAGTATACGCCCACATATTTTATAAAATTACAATCTTTACTCCTATATTATTGTCTTTGACAATTATTATCACAATAAATACCATACAATTTTTAGTCATCTAACATATTCATTATTCACAATAATTTATATAAAAATTTATCAAACACTCAGACACTGTCTTTTTTGTTGAAATCACTTTTACAAAAAATAGTTCACTAAACACTCAACAACTTTATTTATAGCTATTTATTCTCATAACATGGTAGAGGATTTTTTTTTTTTTTTAATTAAAAAAAAAAAGCACAACACCACCAAACTAACCCTTAATAGTCTACTATCTAATGGAAATAGGTCATATCATTGTATATAGGATTCACTTGTATTATGGAGTATATCAACAAAATACGCTAATTTTGTGTATCCAAATAGCACTTAATCCTTAAATAATAGAAATTGAAGAATACTTTGGGAAATTTTTTAAATGTTTACAAATTTTTTAAATTTCTCATATAATCTAAAATTTTAAGAATTTTTTCATATTGTTGTAGCCATAATTTACTGAACAATTATAGAGGCCATAGAGAGAGAAATGTGCGGCAATAATAGAGAGAAGAAAGAGATGTGTAATTGTGGGTGTGTTCTAGTCCATCCCCATTGTGCCTTTATTTATAGTAGTAGAGAAGGTTAATTCCTTACCCTTTTAGGATTACAACTCTTAATAGGTAATCAACTTCTAATAGGAATATAAGAGATATTTCAAGATATACTAGGATTTACACAATCACATTCCTAATCTAATAACACTGTAACACTTCCCCTTGAGTGTGTAAATACTCAAGTAAACGGTGCATTAGGTCTTCAGTGATGAAGCAAGTATGGTTGATGAAGTCGTTGGCACAATGAGCAAATGCAAGTCTTAAATCAACGGAAGAATGCATAAAAAAAGGTAAAACTCACAAAACCTTGCTATGGTAAAACCCAAGGTGGGAGAAAAACCATAGGCTAAGGGGAAAAGTGAAAAGTTGCATTAAGTCAAAACTATACGTCTTTTAGACGCAAGTAGAAGAGCTCACAAGAGTATGATCGGCCCAGGATGGGTGCCTCGTTAAAACCTAGTTAGGTAGTAAAAACCCTATGGGAAAAATGCTCCTAATCGTAGGGAAAAGAGTACATTAAGATCAAGTGAGTATACTTTTGGATACTCCCCCTGAGTTTGACAAACTACAAGCATTGCATATGATAGTTAGGCATGCCAATTCCTTAGACAAGTTTTCTAGAAGGTTGACTTCAGTAGTGACGTCATGTAGAGGTCAGCAAGGTTGTCTGGGATCGGCTTGCATGACTTCAATCTCCTAATGCAAGCAGACGCAATATGTCTTGGTGTTGACTTTGTTGATGTATCATGGCTTGGTCGGGTGGATACATGCGGCATAGTCTTCATGGATCGTCGTTGGGACTCAATGATGGATAAAAAATAGCAAGTATTTCAAATATGCTCAACTAGAACTTCTAACTATGTCTCACTTGTGGCGTAGTGAAGTGAGGTAAGTCTTGGAATGTTTTGAAGATTTCGCAACTAAGGACATATCGTAGACCTCCAAGATATTCCGATATCCCTAATGGTAAAGACATAACCATTTAGGGATTTTGCCTTGTGCGGGTTTGATAAGTAACCTGCGTCAGCATAACAAACAAGGCAAGCATCATTCTAAGGATCAGGGGGTTGAATCTGCTCGAGATGCGTTGGGATTTGGCCTCGTAATACCTTCAGGGTACGTCTTTAATACCAATTCAGTGGTTGCGTATAGGCACGGTGTTGCATCTCTACCAGATCAACGGCGAAGGAGATGTCATATCTAATATAATGAGCTAAGTACAACAAACCGCAAAGTTGAACTCATATATGGAATGTCGGATTCCATAACCTCTTCAAGGGTCTCATTTGCATATAACGTATGGATGATCAAAGGTAGACTCAAAGGTAACACCTTCGGGGTGTAGTTCGACTGGTAGACCAAAATACCGTCTGAACAATGCTTCAACTTCAGGTCAAGGCATAAACAAGTTTTCCCAAGATCCTTCATCTCAAATTCCATCTTTAGGTGCGAGGCAGATTTCTCAAGCTCTTCTAGAGTCTTTGTGAGATTCGTGTTAACGACATAAACTGTAACTCTAGCAATTCAGAATCATAGTTTAACACGCAAAGACATAATTCATATCCCTGACTGATCAAATAATCACTTAGATGGGTATACCACATCTGTCGGATTGTAAGTGAACGTCTTAAACAAGTTAAGAGGGTGTTCCGTGGTTTAGAACTATTTGAACCAATCCATGTAATTCTTTGGGAACTTACATGTAAATCTCCGTATCTATATCCTCATGGAGAAAGCACTAACTACATTTCATAATGCTGCTATCAATCACAAGACGTTTGAGAGAAACCTTGCGCCGTAAGGCATGCATCATATTGCACTATTTCATTCATCTCATAACGCTTACTTTCTCACTTGTAACATAACAGGGTTACCTTGGGCAGTGTAGGAACGACAGGTCCAATTCACACTTTGGTAAGGAATTTGACATGGATTGTAATTTCGGTTGTCCAATCAGTTCTACGTTATCACTTAATCAACAGAACACGGTTCGATATCATCGTTTTTTATTTATGTTGGTAGCTACCATATAAGTGAAAACATC